AATCAACAATTTTCATGTGTTAAATAGAATGATCTCACTACTAGTGCTATTAATTATAATTTCAGTGAATGTAATAGCAGTATTAAACTCTATTAATCCAAAACAGTAAAAAAATATCACAAAAGTTGTAAATATAAGCCTTTTTCACGCTAATATCATTATTATTATCAGTGTCGTAACGATATTTTTGTCGTACCATTAATGATACCGAACAATACCACTTATAAGTACCATCTGTTGTTCACAAGCCAGCTAGCGATAACGGAAAGCGACATATTTATATTCTTTACTGTTCTAATCACTACGTTTTGAACATTATCATAATCATTATCACCTTCAATCAAATCCTCATTCAGTGTTTCAAGTTCAGTACATATTCAAATAGCACCCCCCCCCACACACACACTCTCTCTCTCACACACACAAGTTTTGGCCAATGGATGCGTTATAATTGGTACTTAGGTTCTTCGCACAAGGAAACTTTTAAATAGATACCGGCCCTGTTCACCCGACGGTCCCTAAACCCTCCGAACCCATAATTAATGGAGGATAACGGACACGTGGAAGCCGTATGAAATGACTAACCGGCCACTCTAACCGCATAGGATTCCACGTTTTCCCAATTACGTTATAAAACTACATTATATATATTGGCAATGGCAATGGTGATACCCATCTTCCTTTACAACTAATTTTGTCCTTTATACATTCTTCTACTAACTCGTGCGACCTGTGACCTTGACCTTTCAACGACCCAAGCTACCACCGCCCACTGGAATCTGACACTAAAGAGGACGGAGCTGACGACGATATGTCGTGACCTCCATCAACTAAATTTTGACCTGCCTTTTGAGCTGAGGTTCAGGGTCAGCCTCTTGTACCCATTCCCTAGTAAAACACCAAGCTGGACACTTTTTTTCCTGTCCGATGACACGAACGAAAAAGGAGGAACTGATGTTAACACACACACACACACACATACATATATATATATATATATATATATATATATATATATATATATATATATATATATATACATATATGTAAATATATACATATATGTAAATATATACATATATGTACGTATATATATATATATATATATATATATATATATATATATATATATATATATATATATATATACATATATGTAAATATATACATATATGTAGTATATATATATATATATATATATATAATATACATATATGTAATATATACATATATGTACGTGTATATATATATATATATATATATATATATATATATATATATATATATATATATATATAAATATACATATATGTAAATATATACATATATGTACGTATATATATATATATATATATATATATATATATATATATATATATATATATATATATATATATGTATGTATGTATATATGTGTATATCCCTATATATCCATATCTATATTTATCCACCCACACACACAAACACACATGACCGAGAGAGCCATCCATTGCCAGAAAAAAACATCTTGTTTTCCTTTGCTATCAAGAAGCTTTTGGTAAGATCCGGGACTTAGAATTGTTTAAAATCGTCACACATATCCAGATAAATGACAAGGATATGGAACTTATTCAATCTTGCAGCAGTCCTCTTATCCAATGCAACAACTAACTGCTTCCCCCTCAAGCGAGGTGTCCGACAAGGTTGCGTGATGTCAGCCGATCTCTTTATTTTTTACTTTATCATGCAGAAGATTGAAGATCACCAGGAGGGAATCATTATCAGTGGTTGCAAGATCAACAACCTTCGTTATGCAGGTGATACAGTTCTTGTGGCAACATCTGTAAATGACCTCCAAAAGCCTTTTGATGCTGCAGTGGAAGCCAGGGAACACCTTGGCCTTCATGTCAACAAGCAAACAAAATGCCTTATAATTTCAAAGTCCGAGATCTCACCAAGTTCTCCATTGAAACAGTGAAAATAGAAAACCAATAGGTCTTCTCCTTCAAGATATTTAGCTATTGTCACCTCAGATACTCGTTGCAAGAAGGAAGTCAGACGCAGAATCAGACAAAAGATGCATTCTCCAAACTCCGGAACACCTTTAAATACCACAAGCTCTGTATGCAAATAAAAATCAGACTCGTCAAAACCTTTATCAGGCCGACTCTCCAATATAGTTGCGAGTCCTGGACACTGACGACTGAAACTCGGCGCAACACAGAGGCCGACAGAAGAGTGGTTCTACCCCTTACACCGACCGAGTGTCTAGCGAGGTCCCCTAAAGAGTCAGACAGGGACGCGAAATGAGTTAGAAATGATCCGAGTACGATGACTCAAATTCCTCAGACATGTAATCCGTAAAGGAACATCATAAAAACCTTAGCCTAAACGGTAAAACTGAAGGCAAACAAGCACGAGGTAGGCCGAAAATAACATTCTTCGATAATTTCAATATACAATCACTTCAATGCCTCTGGGATAAAACCCGACAACGTGAAACATGATGCCAAATAGTTGGTCAAAAACCGCATCGGTGATGGCACAGATATGAGTAAAGAACATAAATGTATATATGCATATATATACATATGCATGCACATACATATGCATATATATAAACACATATACATAATACATATATATACATATGTACATATATATATATATATATATATATATATATATATATATATATATATGTACATATATATATATATATATATATATATATATATATATATATATATATATACATATAAACATATATACATAATATATATACATATGTACATTATATATATATATATATATATATATATATATATATATATATATATATATATATATATGTATGTATACATACACACACACATGTACATATTTGTTATACATGTGTGTGTGGCTTTTAATATTTTAGAATAATAATATCAAATGATAATTTTCACTATAATTATGATGGCGATAATGATATTAGTAATTATTATCCTCATAAACATAAATTTACATAGATAACAAAGATAGTATTTGAGCAAGAAAAAAAAAACAACAACACTACAACTAATACTGATAACACCTTATTAGACGCAAGGAAGAAATGCTTGGGATATCTGCAGCAATTACGTATGAAGTGTATTTCTAATTTAATATTTGTCCGAGTCTCTTACTACACCGAGATTTATTACGATTTTGCAAGTGTGATATCGTGTGAAGCTCCGCAGATATACACCCAATTCTTGACGATGACTTGCAGGAACACAGGGCATTGTTAGACGATTATGCAGATTAAATTGTGTAAGTAAAAGTAATCAAAATGAATTCCTTTGCTGGCTGTCGGTATATTTGCTTTTATCTCTCTATTCTTCTGCTATTGTCTGTCTACCTGTTTATCGGTAGTTCTTTATATTTGTCTCTATCTCAATCTCAATGTCTTTTTTCTTTCTTTCTTTTTCTCCCGCCCGACGTCTCCCTCTCTCACTCATATTCATGTGTTTTCTTGTTCTTCCCTTTGTTGTTTCACTTGCAATTTGTTCGACATGAATCCCACACATACCCGTCCACTTGTACAATACAGTAACAGCTGATTAACTTGCATAGCTTCCCTCCCTGACAAGGATTCGGACCCTCAGCTAGTGGCCACGGTTCGTAGATGAATAAAAATTGCTAGTGTGCTCATTGATACATACATATGTACATACATACATACATACATATGATGCAGATAGACAGACAGAAAGACTGACAGACAGGCAAGCAGGCAGACAGATAGATAGATTTTAAAAAAATATAGAGAAACAGATAGACAGATAGACAAAAAAGGCAGGCATGCAAGCAGACAGATAGATTGCCAGATAGACAGACAAATGAGTAGACAAACAGATAGATGGATAGAATGAGAGATAGATAGTAGTAGTGGTATTGTAGCTGTCGTTATTGGAATCGTTATTTCTATTGTTAGCTATTATTATCATAATTACTATTGTAGTTGTTAATGGCGACCGAGGACGTTTAAAAATGATAACTAAGGGTAAGGATGATGAAAAAAAACAATGATAATTATAATACAGATAAAAGATGATCATTATTTTCTTTTTTTATTACTAGTAGTAGTTATAGTATTACCAGAACATTGGCAACAGAGATAGCAGCAGCAGCAACAACAGTACCAACAATAATAATGATGGTAGTGATGATGATAATATCAATAACGCTATTACTGTCATAACAATAAAAAACAATGATAGTGACAAAAATAATGATAAGAATAATTACAACACACACATAAACTTATAAATAACAGAAAACATTCCTCCGTGTCTTCTCTGATAAGCTGACCCATTTCATTGTACAACTGCAGCCCCATTTATAAAACACGGAGGAAAGGCCAACAATGGAACAGCTAAGTGTAAAGTGAAAGGCAGGATGATGGTGACAGTTTGCTGGTTTCCAGACTCGACATCACATTAAGTTATGACTTCGTTAAGAGTTTGTGTAGTGAACGAAGTACAGAGGTGAGAAATCTTTCATTTTGGTAATTCTATGGATGGATTTAGCCCAAGATAAACGATAACAGTGATGAAGAGAGTGTTAATGATTTTTGTTGAAATGAGAGATGCATTTAATTGATTCAGTGACAATGGGTTCAGTTCATATTTTTGTTGTTGTTACAGAAGTATCTAAACTGAAAGGGAAATTTCATCTGGAAAAAAATAAACAGGCATGGTACCATTCAGTCGTTATCCATTTACATTACAATAACAACCAAACAAGGCACACAATCGACAAAAAAAAATATTTTACGCCTCTAAAGATGAATTACAAAATCACAAGAAGAAAATACCAATGTGCTTACGATAATAACTTTGATCGAAAGTTCCACCAACTACTGTTCGGAAATGATGAATAGTTTGCCTCTTCCTGATGGTTACTTGTGCGTGAACGACGACTATTGGAGGAGTGGTAGCCAATTTACCCGCCGAAAGACGATAATGTAACCCTGGCTGGGAAATCTGCACTCCGTCACCACACTTCGCTTCGTCAGCAGACCGTTTGGGACAAGAAAAAAAATTCACCGTATGTATTTTTTTGGTATTCGTAGATTTCGCGTTTTCTTTATTTATTATATTGAGATTTCTATAATTTATCTTTTTTTTTTTTTTTTTTTTTTGTTCGTGGAGTGTGGGGGTTAGTGTGAATTCTGGAGCTCTAGCAAGACTGTCCCCTTTTTTCCAGATGGCTAATATGATTGTGGCGATCGTCCTTGCGTTGGGTCTGGTATGTAGTATTTTTAAATTTTGCTGAAGTTTAAACTTGCACGTCACTTGCATATTAAGATTATCGTGAATGCTTTATTACCGATACTCTAAATCTGCAGGTGCTGGGTGCCTCTGCACAGTACGAAAGCCACGCCAGAATCCCAGAACCGCGGATTAATCGTGCCGTGACGGAGACAGTGACGAGGACGGTAAGAAAGGGGCTGGGGGAGTGGGGGGGGGATTCGTATAGTTCTAGAGAACTGGCACTAACGCCTCCGTTCCCGCAGGATACGGTGACCCACACGTTCCGCGTGACGACGACGAGCGACATCTGGGTGACGGAGAGCACCTTCGTGGAGCTCCCCGTAACGGTGTACACGACGGAGCGCGACTTCGTGCCCGAGGCGCCCAGGACGGTAACCTCGGTGCTCAGGGTCACCACCACACCGGTAAGTGCTTGATTTGTATGTTGCACGTGTCTTGATAGTGGTTTCTAATATTGCCAGCTTGATGGTCCTGGGGCTTCAGGTTAATAGACAAATGGAAGACTGATAAATCTCTCGTTCCAGGTCTTCGTAAAAACCGCCGAGGAATTCGTGAATCCCTCCCGCACCTTCGTCTCCGTCTACACCAGCTTCGTGACCACCACAGAATACGTCAAATTCTGGCAGAGCATCTATCACGTCTCTACTGATTACCAGGTTACCCTTTTTTTTTTTTTTTTTTCTTCCATCACGCATCCATTAATAACTTCAGGGAGACTAAATACTCCATTAAATGGATAACCCCCTACCCCCTACTCCACCCCATTCTTTATACCACATAACCCCGGAATAGTTTAACCCATTCGACCCACGTGGCAAGAATAGATGCTATAACCACTTTGATATACGTTTATTTATTTTATTTGTACATACATGTACATTTTATATGTACATTTGTACATAGTTCTTAATCGCCCAACATGGCCAGTTTGTCGGAACTACCTATTTCACCTGTTTACCCTTTTTCTTCACTTAGTTTTTTTTTTATCTAAAAGATTTTAATAATTATTTTTAATAATAGTAACGCCACTAACAATAAGTGTCGATAGAAATAGTATTCATTTTCCCGCCAATTCAATGAATGGGGAAAATCAGGGTCGGTAACTAGGGCCTACTGGTAGACTCCTTGCCGGCATCTAAAAGATTTTAATAATTATTTTTAATAATAGTAACGCCACTAACAATAAGTGTCGATAGAAATAGTATTCATTTTCCCGCCAATTCAATGAATGGGGAAAATCAGGGTCGGTAACTAGGGCCTACTGGTAGACTCCTTGCCGGCTGAGCACATGTGGAGACCTCTAAGTGTAACCAAATTTACCAAAAACTACAGGGGACAGAACATCAATCCGGGGCGAATGGGTTAATGTATAATCTTGTATCATTCCAGATTACCACCATACCAGTTTGGACTACCCAAGAACTTCTCCAGCACTTGGTCACCACCACGACCCACTACATCACTAACTACGTTACTTCTACGCAAGCCTACTACGGCCATTAAAATAAACCATGGTGGATATTTTTCTTGAAAGTGGAGTCTAATTGTCCTTACTGCCTGATCTAAATTTTCAAAAACTACAACAAAACCGATGAATAAATGCGGGTTTGTCCATGCCGAAATGCAACTTGTTGCAAACTACTGACTTGACAATATGCCATTTCTTTACTGACAAGAAAGAGTGGCATCAGTTAAACTTCCCTCGATCGACATCGTCTTCATTGTCTGTGATGTCTATTGGCGAATGTTTGCCCATCACTGTTTCTTTAAGTTTACGGTCTCCAAGAATAAGTAGGCACTTTCCTTTCTTGGTCGTTCCAGTCATTCGAGCCTTGTCACTTCCATCGCAGTCCCAAGCTCGTTCCCTACATACCCTGACTGACCTTGCTGGCAAACCTATTTCTATTCAACCTGCCTCCCCCTCCATACGTGTACCAGAACTATTAACCAGGACTGTGATATCAGTACAGTGCTACTACATTCCTCCCAGAGGTCCTCGTAAGAACCCCACTAACATTGACAAAATTACTTTCTGTAGACATGACGTTTTTAATGTTTTACCTAGGTGGAGAATCCCTCTCAGTCCGACCATATCCACCTTCTCGTCAGTGCCAAAATTGTTGGTGTTAAGGACATCCTGCCAAACGTTGCCGTTCCACCGGCAGATGCCCAGTATGTGCCTAACCTGGCCATACTAGATCAAATTGCTCTGCACAATCGCGCACATGTGCCACCTGTGGCAGACCCTATGTATTTGTGGCAGACCCTATGTATTTTATAGGGGCTGCCCCACCTACAAATTTGAGTCTGATGTAGAAACCCTCAGATTCAGACTTGGACTCGCTCTACAGGAAGCACGTCGTCGTTTTTCTTGCTCCCTACTCCAGTAATGTCGCTCACTCTGCCACTCCCCTTGCTTCCCAAGCTCCTACAACCTACCCTAAACCTATCCCTCCATCTAACTTCCCCCTCTTCCACCTCCTTCCTTCCCAAGTCAAATTCTTATGCCATCCTAAATCAAGACCCTCCAATCTCTACAGCCCCAACACCTTCCCCTCTCCCTCCCCGCACTACCCGTAACAAGACTAAACATTCCACCCCCTCTTCCCCTACCACACAATCACCTCCAACTTCCTTTGTCCCTACTCTTCAGACACGAGTCTTGTCTTCCCCTTCCTCACAAGAAAACCCCAACCCTCACAAAACTTCCCAACTCCATTACAGAAAATCTTGAAGATATTTAAAATTATCTAGTCCCAAACCGACACTAAAACCCCTCATTCACCTTCAAATTCCACAACTCCCGCTCCCTCCACTTAATATCCATCCTCCTCCTCTCCCCTCTACACCCCTCCTACTCAACCACCCTTCACTACCATTTACTATAGTGCTACATGGCCTTAGATGTCTAGGACATTTATTTTGCTTTTTGCTTTTTTTAACCATTTAACCATTACATAGTAGCTTTTGCAGTTTTCTCCATACAGTGTTACTCTTCCTTTCTGACACCTAGATAATCTCCATTTGATCTAAGCGCCTTGTGCCCTTAACCCCTTCCCCTTTTATGAATCTCCGCCGTACTCCATTTACTCTCCCCATTTTACTCATTTTAACTTCCATACTATCCTACAGCACTCTACAATCTTTCACATTTAACATTTTATCCTAATTGTTAACTTTCTTAACTTTTTCGCCACTATACTTTATCATAATGTTGTGACCTTGGATGTCTAGCGCTTTTGTTTTAACCACTCTGGAAATCCACAAACTTTTAATGGAACCCCCCCCCCCCCCCAAGAAAAAAAAAAAAACCCAGGTAAGGATTTATTTCATTTTTGTCTCCTGAGCCCCATCCTATCGTTGTATATTGAACACACCGCTAATGACCCAAGGTGTTGAGACAATTTTTTCAATAAATTACCTCTTGCTGTAGGCGAAAGGGAATCTTCATAATCAACATTTGAAACATTTAACCAGTAGTTGCATTCACTTCCAACAATTTCGTATCAACGTCAACATCCGAAATCTGCAACCCGGTAAGATGTTGCTTGTTATTTAAGGACTTCCAAGAATTGCATAGATGTATATAAACTGCCCAACAACCCTGTTCCCTCAACACAACTTGCCCCAGCACTGACAGTCGTGAACTTTACACTGGACGTGAGTCTACCACTCCCCTTTCCGAACGATCAGTTTGATAGTCGTTCCAGTTTTGTTTTATTTTCGCCTTTATCATATTTTTGGACTTTTTCTACTCGGAGACGGACGTAGATATCTCTTTATTGTAGCCAGATGGTAGTCTTTGCCCTCATCAGGAAACCAATTTCTACAAAAGGGTAATACTAGGTCTAATAACTTGGTTGTTGTAACGTTTATAATTTAATTTAGCATGAGGTGAGTGAGTGAGTGAGTGAGCATCTATCTCTATGCGCGCAGAGGTGCTGAACAAGGAAGCCGGCCTCATGACACTCGCTTGACGACCGGGCACATTTGCTGCTCTCGACATAGCTTGTGATTTTAACATTTAATTGGTCTTGTCTTTTTAAAACCTTGTTCTCTTTATGTTCTCCGTTATTTAACCACTTGATCTTTTCGGTTTATTTATGAAACACTCTTTATATTAATCTGAAGGGTTCTCTTCTCTTATACTAGTCATTCTTGGAAAATAATAAGTTTGGATATATAACTATAATAAAAGCTATCAAAAGAAGACGAGGAGGGGAAACCTGAGTAAGCTCCAAGGAATTTGACTTCCAAGGCACGTCGAGAAAGATGCGAGAAAAGCGAGCAGAATGCGAAGTGCTAACGAAATCGCAAAGATTCGAAGAGGAGGAGGAAAAAGAGAGAGAGAGAGAGAGAGAAAGGAGGGAGGGGGGGGGGGTGTTGAGGTGAAATGTTGGGTGACGAGGTAACAGCAGGATTTGTGAAGTTTGATGACTGGTTTGAGCTATGATTGGGGTTATGATTACTTAAGGGAGAGAAACGGAGGGGGGGGAGAGAGGGAAAGGGAAAGGTGGACAAGGTGGGAGAGAATATACGGGAAAGGGTGAGAAGGAGGGGGGGGGGGTATGAAAGGAGAGGGAAAATGAAAATGAAAAGGAGGGGGCTGGGAAGGTAGGGAAAGGGGGGGAGGGAAGGTGGGCAGAAGAGGTAAAGGACAAGGATAAAGAGGAAGGGAAAGGGGGGGTGTTGCGAGGCCGTAAAGAGGAGGAAATATACAAGACGAACAAGGAAGTGGGATGCAAATTTGGGAAATGGAAGAGGGGAAACAAGAGAAAAAAAGATGGCGACTGAAAGTATAGGATGGAATTTAAAAGAGAAGATATAAGAGACATAGACAAGCAAGGAAAGAGCAAAATGGAAGAAGGAAGAGCGGAAATAGAAAGAGGAAGAAGAATAAAAGAAAATTGACAATGGGGAAAGAGGCGACAGGGAATGAGAGAAAGAAAGGAGAAAGAAGAGGGCAAGGAGGAAAATATGGAAAAGAAAAGAATAAAACTAGACACATGCAAAACTGAATTCATGAAATACGAAAAAGGAACCCAAGGAATACAAGGCGAAAAGTGAAAATAGGAAATAGAAGATAAACGAACAACGTAGAAAGAGAAGAGAAAGGTGACGTGTGAGAGAAGGAAGTATTGTGTTTAATGAAACAGGTAATATATTTGCGAAAGAGAAGTCTCCCGAAGTTGAGAGTCAAGAAAGCCATTTAGCTGTCAGGAAAGTATCAAACATGATATCCTTGTATGCAGGGAATTGCAACATGCTTTCTCACTCATTTGCTCAATTTCATTAATCTATTCGTCTATTAACTAATTTTACAAGTGGCAGCAATGCAGTAATGATAAGACAACAGTGATATCATTATTAGAAAAATTCCTTCTGGTATCTTTGTTTGTTTGTTTATAATTCATGTGTTTGTTCCCGCACGGGACATGAAGACATTTTATATTCTATGAAAAAATCATCATGAACCAATCGTTGTCAGCTTTTGACAAAAGAAATAATTTTTGCCTTCACGCGGAACCACACTTTAAGTAATTTCTATCTACGTAGAATAATGCAAATAACCGTACTTTGCTGATTCTGATTCTGTATATGCAATTAAATTAGAAGTGTAATTATGTGTTATTACATTTCTACTGGTAAGCAACCATAAGTGATTCAGATACCCATTCATTGATAGATGGATAGGTAGATCTACGTATATAAATTAATTCAGAGAGAGAGAGAGAGAGAGAGAAAGAGAAAGAGAAAGAGAAAGAGAAAGAGAAAGAGAAAGAGAAAGAGAAAGAGAAAGAGAAAGAGAGAGAGAGAGAGAGAGAGAGGGGGGGGAGGGAGGCAGAGACAGATAGATAGACACACACACACACATATATATGTATAAATATATGTGTGTGTGTGTGCGTATGTGTGCTAAAGGTCACCTCACGGCGACATGGGAGGTCCATGAATTATGTATTTATCTCCAGTATTCTAACATAAATCCTAAACCTTGAAAATTGATTTTATGTCTTTGGGTGATTTCAGGTCCTCGTAAAATCCGCAGAAGATATCATCCTCTCCGTCTGCTCCTTCGTAAAGATCTAAGTCACCACCATAAAGAATGCCATACTGTTGATGGCTTAAGAAAAATAATCAGTAACAACGCTAATGACATCGTTTTGGTATTTCTATGGCGTTATGGTCGTGTTCATAGACGTTGCAGATAAGACGATCTTGCACGACCTTGCCCGAACTTTCACTACACGTATTTTTAAACACTGTGAAGAGAGCACTTTTCAGAAACGACCTTTTTTGTTTTGTTTTGTTTTATCCCCATGATTTACTTTCTTTAGTTTCAGGAAGCCATTAACGTTAACGCTAATGATAAAGGTGAATGGCAAGAATAAAAGAAAAATATAATAACGTAGAATGATTAATCTTCTCTAGGTTATCTGATATTTTGAGGACAAGTCGAGAAAATATTGCCATGTCAATGTTGCAATATATAATAAATTGCATTAGTTCTGAAACTAATTTTCCGGTGAGTTGTTATCAAAGGAAATCATGTATATAAAATCATTTCATAAGAACAGCCAAGTTATTATGAAAAACCTATTAACCTTCAGAAAGTTTTATCACATGGGAACTCCGAGGCCAAGGTAAACACGCAAAACCGGTGATATTTTTCCACCAATTAGGTACCTTCTCGTAACCAACGACCGTCATAAAAGCTAATCGTTGCTGTCTTGAATTTTTTCAATTTGTCTATGTATATTTCAAATGCATTAGTTGAGGTTCTTGGCGAAAGGTGTTTGCTTGTTTGTGAATGCGGCTCTTAGTCTAGCACGATATAATAACCAATGTTTAGTGCCGATTTTTGCTAGCCTTGTTTACGGGCTTTTATATTTTTTTACATCCGTACATACGTTGATGATCCTTTAAGTATGAATATGCTCGTGTATGAAGGAATTACGGACGGATAATATGCATGGAATATATTAATAAGAATATCCTGTTTCTAAGAGAATATGTTGGTAGATTTTCCGGATTAAGATCTTAAGATGGTTAGTAGGGAGGTGGTGAATCCTTAGGAGAAATATTGAAGGCCATTTGCAAGGCATTCTTTAGTATTTACATGAAGAATACATAATGAATTCATGTCTTCGAGGAATATCTTATAACAGATAGGCAAATGAACTTCTACAGATCGCTGATTATATTTTTTTCTCTTTCTCTTGGCTAAAAATATGGAATGATTAATGTCAAAGGCTTGTAGATATGTCGAAAGAGGCTCATGAGTGACAATAAATAAAAAAGTAAATAATATGGTCTCAGTTGGAAGGCTTACTAAAGGCATTCGGTCAGCAATAGTGTCAAATCGATCGAATCTCCAAACTCAGTCGTTTCATGTCCATTAATAGTTAAATGTTATATTTACTATCTCCTGGTTGAGAAGTTCTTCAGTACATTTAGCAGGCCCAGCTACTTATTCCGATGTAAATGTTTACTTATTAAAAATATTTCTGCCGCAAACATCTAAGGTCATTAGCGGCGTATACAAAATATAATAAAAAATGGGGGGCTTGGGGGCAAAGCTCTAGGTTTTTTTTTTTTTCTATTGTTCACTAAGGCGATGTTTGTGGATTTCCAGAATGGTCAGTTTTCAAAAACAAATGTACGAGGCATCAAATGTTCCCCAGCATTATGGTAAAGTATTGTGGCAAAAAGGGTAAATATGAGTTATCGATCTGGATAAGTGGACAGAAAGGGATGAAGTATAAAGGGAAAGCAAAGAAAGATGAAAAGACCGTGCAAAATTAGTTGAGGCGAGTGCCGAGGACCAAGGCAGGGGGGTGATCCCTACATTAGGCCTAAGTCTCCGCCTCCCAAGCCCCCCACGGCAACAACGAGCAATGGACTAGGTGAGGGATGAAGTATAAAGGGAAAGCAAAGAAAGATGAAAAGACCGTGCAAAATTAGTTGAGGCGAGTGCCGAGGACCAAGGCAGGGGGGGATCCCTACATTAGGCCTAAGTCTCCGCCTCCCAAGCCCCCCACGGCAACAACGAGCAATGGACTAGGTGTGGAGGGGGGGGGGGGGGTCCAATATAAGTAGTTGCTCTGTAGGATTTCATTTAATTTATTGAATTTCTTAGCCACGTCAACATCTAAGGTCATTAGCGGCGTATACAAAATATAATAAAAAATGGGGGGCTTGGGGGCAAAGCTCTAGGTTTTTTTTTTTTTCTATTGTTCACTAAGGCGATGTTTGTGGATTTCCAGAATGGTCAGTTTTCAAAAACAAATGTACGAGGCATCAAATGTTCCCCAGCATTATGGTAAAGTATTGTGGCAAAAAGGGTAAATATGAGTTATCGATCTGGATAAGTGGACAGAAAGGGATGAAGTATAAAGGGAAAGCAAAGAAAGATGAAAAGACCGTGCAAAATTAGTTGAGGCGAGTGCCGAGGACCAAGGCAGGGGGGTGATCCCTACATTAGGCCTAAGTCTCCGCCTCCCAAGCCCCCCACGGCAACAACGAGCAATGGACTAGGTGTGGAGGGGGGGGGGAGTCCAATATAAGTAGTTGCTCTGTAGGATTTCATTTAATTTATTGAATTTCTTAGCCACGTCAACATCTAAGGTCATTAGCGGCGTATTAAAAATATTGCGATATTTCCTCTTTTTCCCCATTCACTCTTATTCCCCGATCTCTTTCTTTGGCTTTTACTCTTCCCGAGCGAAATCCCCTTGTAAAAAGTTTTTGGGCTTCACAAGGCGATGTTTGTGGCATTTCAGAAGGGTTAAAATGGTCAAAACAAACAGAGGTGCCAGTATTATGACAGTTTTGTGGTGAAAAATGACGAAAAGGAGTTAACGATTAGGATAAGTAGACAGAAAGAGGGATGAAGAAACGAAGGAAAAGGAAAGGAGAAAAGCTCATGCAATATTAGTTGAGGCCCCAGGAGACGGAGACTAAGCCCCACGACAACAATGAACAAGGGATTATGGGGAAGGGGGGAGGGGGATGACGTCACAGGCAAAGAAAACAACGGGGGAAAAAATACTTGTTGGCCGAGTAGTATGCCCGCTTGTGACGTCACTTGTACTCATCGACCAGGACCTCGTATGGTCAAACCTTGAGCTATCTAGGTCATTCATACTGGTTCACTACATTATGTAATTTCACCTATTTACTTTACATGCGAAAACCGATTTGTATGCTTATCAGTTTCTTAACTTAAATCTTCAAATTGAAGCAATAGACTACTCTTTATCGACATGCGGCGTGTTCATGTCATGTACAGTCCTGTGGATATCGGAAAATAAAACCATGAAAGGGGAAAAAAAATATTCTTAAGAACTTTATTTAATAAATATATCTTCCTCCTACATAAACGGTGTTGTAGACTGTACGGTAATCGGTCACCGTCTGCGTGGCTGTCCTGACGATAGTTCTCACCAATTCAGCAGAGAATGCAAGTCTAGAAGAGAAAATAAAATATATTAATAAAATGAAATAAAAAAGGGTAAAAAGGCTAAAACCGGTCCCCCATCTCAAAAGAGTCGACATCAGTTTCAGGTTTAGTAGCCATGTTTGACAAAGATTGAGCTCAAGTATTTACGTCTGCCTGGCTGTCCTGGTGTAGGTCGACTGCATGATGTGGTAGCAGGTGTGCGTGATGGTGTAGTAGTCAACTAAGACGTCGGTCACGATTCCGTAGTTAGACACTGTATCAACGACAGTTAGGGTCAAGGGCTTTTCCACCAGCCTAGTCTGGATGGCCACGTCATCATCCACGGGAGTTCGCGCAACCTGATAAAATAGTAAAAAAAAAAAAAAAAGGAAAAAGAGGAAATTAGAAGAAAGTTGATAGTTAAGAGATCGCACAACTGCATGTTGGATACTCGTTCCCAAAACAGAATAACAGACTTACGACTCGTCTGGGCAGTGTGGATGTCCAGAGAGCGTAATCGGTGATGGTAACGGGAACGACGTTGTAGGCTTGTTCCGTGAGGACGACGGAACGATCGACTGTGGTGGTTTCAGTGACCGTGATCGTGCCCTGCCTCGGACCGGAGGCAACGTTCAGGTTTTGCAATGGTGCGACAGCCGGGGAAGGATCGTAGCCAAACACCTGAGGAAAGGTCGATTGTTAGCCTTTATTTATTGATAAAGCTATCAGAATTAGTTTACTTCAAGGGGACGAAACAGTAATTGCATCAATACCTTTGGGGTACATGTACCGAGGCAGACCACCAGGAAAAATAAAGCACCTGCTTGCATCTAGAGATAAGAAGATATTTAAATATTTAGACAAAACCAGGATCAAGACAAAATATAAGACGGTAAAAAAAAGTAAGACGTGGTATATTTTACATCATAATTTCCATTCTAACGACATATAGAACTCCGCAAAACACAATTTCCCTCGTCACAGGTCCATTCCGACCAATACTGCATAGAGTTCCAAGACTACTACGCAAGTCCTTACCTTGGGCAAATTCAGACAATCCTCTCCCCACATAAACAGGCCACGCACAGGCTACGGCGTTTCTGGATGCTAACCACGACAGCTTGAGGATAGCGTGCGGCGGTCAAGTCTTGAAAATCCTGTTAACTATCTTGAAATATGTCGTTAGAGGAAAGTTGCCCATGTAAAGAACCAATAAAGGTTATTCGAGATAGTTTAACATAATGATACCCTTTGCTCTTCATATCGGTTGTCTATTTCGCTAATAATATTAACGTTATGGTAGTGCTACGCAATTCAATGAATACTCTCTCTTGCTCTTGCTCTCTCTCTCTCTCTCTTGCTCTTGCTCTCTCTCTCTCTCTCATATGTGTGTGTGTGTGTTTGTGTGTGTGTGTTTGTGTGTGCTTGTGTGTGTGTTTGTGTGTGTGTTTGTGTGTGTGTTTGTGTTTGTGTGTGTATTTGTGTGTGTGTTTGTGTGTGTGTTTGTGTGTGTGTTTGTGTGTGTGTTTGTGTGTGTGTTTGTGTGTGTGTTTGTGTGTGTGTTTGTGTGTGTGTTTGTGTGTGTGTTTGTGTGTGTGTTTGTGTGTGTGTTTGTGTGTGTGTTTGTGTGTGTGTTTGTGTGTGTTTGTGTGTGTGTTTGTGTGTGTGTTTGTGTGTGTGTTTGTGTGTGTGTTTGTGTGTGTGTTTGTGTGTGTTTGTGTGTGTGTGTGTGTGTGTGTGTGTGTGTGTGTGTGTGTGTGTGTGTGTGTGTGTGTGTGTGATATGATTTTGCACTCTGAGTAAATTCTCACCAGATAATAATAGGCTGTGGTTGACTTTGCCACAGAGCAGAATTATTAAGATAAGTTTAGGCAAGATAATCATGTTATTCAATTAGACAAGGGTAGTGGGAAAAAAGTTAGCTTCAATGGGGCGAAGGAATGAAAAAATGAATATGTATGATTCAAATGTAAATACAAGGAAGGTCATACGTAACTCTACACAGCCCTGACATGACTCCTCCTAAAATACATCAAAAGAAAAGGAAGTATCATTTATGCTTACCCCCAAAATATGTGAAATTGGTAGCTAAAAGGGTTTAGTCTTTAACATTGAGAATGCAAAGTATTTATATATTTTGGACAGAGTTTTAATTGCAGATACAAGACAAGTAGGCATTCAGCAGAAAAGTTACAGTAGACTTAAGAACATATTTCTTGAAGTTGCATTTGGTAACATATATCATGGGAAAATATTATTGGAAAACAGGCATATTCTCCTTGTTTGTTTTACCTTCTTCCTCTTCAGTTTTCTTGTTTTGCGTTATTGTTCTTGTACATTCTCTCACTTCCTAGTTTGTTTGTTTTTTCAATTCCTTCTCTTCCTTCGTCCTTCCACTTCTTCGCTCTTTTGCATTCTTCCTTCTCCCTCTTCCTTCCTATGCTTCCATTTCCCTACTTTGCCTTCATCTCTCTTGCATCCCCTTCCTTTTCCGACATTCTATCCCTTCTCCTTTTTAATACCCTACTTTGCGTCCTCGTCCCTTTTCCTTCCTTCTCTTCCACTTCCTTACTTTGCTTCCACCTCTCTTTAAATTCCCGCACTCTCCCATCTTTCCTTCATCCCTCCTCTTTGCGTCCTCGCACTCTTTTGCATTCCCCAACTTTCTCGTCCTTCTCTGTGCCTTCGCTTTCTAACTTGCTTTCCAATTACTACCTTTGGTGTCCGAGCGCCGACACTTCCATCTCGCCGGGACTCAAGCCATGCATTCTGAGCGTCTTGTTTTGCTCACTCCCTCGTGTTTTATTAAGAATAATAAAAGGGAATTATTTACACGGTTCAATTCCCTTGATTTTACACGTGTTGACATAAGCGTAAGTAAGTTATGCGCTTCGTGGTCTTTTTTTGTTTTGTTTTGTTTTAGTTATCGTGAGGTACAGAAGGCTCTAGCAAGAAACAATAACACTTGGTGACTGGAATCTTTAAAAAAAAGGAAAATTGTGAATTATTTGAAGAGACAGGAAATGGTAGAGGAAAGACAGTTATATGGCATGTGTTGGAAACAGTTTTTAGAAATAAGCAATATAAATTCAGAGAAAATAGTGCATACAAAAAAGAATACCGTGTTAAGTTATTGCAAAAAGTTGTGTAATAATAAATGTATGGTTAGAACAAGGGTTGTATATGTATATATATATATATATATATATATATATATATATATATATATAATTACTTTAGGAATGTTTTGTAAAAGTATAATTTAACGTTATTATATATTACTTACAATTCTACATGAATAAGTTGTTATGAAGAGGAAAACAGCCACACTAAGAAATGTCATATTAAGGAACCTCTCAGGTTGAATTACCCCAATGAAGTAAAAAAAAATCATCGTGGACTTATATAACACATCCCTAGGGCGACTCGTGCTACAGATCGTCATCTCTTTCTTGCACCTTTTTTTGTATTCGTAATTGTTCCACACTCGCCTTCGTGAATGAGTTTGTTTGTACTTCCGTGGGTCAGGTCAGTATTTAGGAGAGAGAGGGAGGTTCTGGTACTGTTCTGTCTCTGTTTCCCTCCCTCGCGTCCTTTTTTTTC